GATAATTCTGAATATTAGAGATTTGAATTCCCTATCAGTTAGGTCTAGTGCCTTTTCTTCTACTGGGAGGTCATCTGGTGGTTTATTTTGGATGCTTCCTGGAGCCATCCTGTCCTGTTTTTGTAAACGTTTTGATATTGTCTGCTGTATTTGGGGCATTCAGTGATTATTTTGCTTGTTTATTTATTGTAGATTTGTTTGTTTTGTCCTGCTTTTTTTTATTTGGTTATGTGTGAACAGGCGGGCTGTGCGTTGTTTGCTCATCTGTGGGCACGATACTTTTCACCTCCTCCAATGCATAGGGTCAGTCACTCAGGTATGGTACAGCAGGGCAGGTCCAGCTGAAGGGGAGTTGCTGGAATGGGTTGTTTGTGGCACGTACCAGGGCTGACAGTGTGGACCAGGAATCAGTGCAGGGCAGGTTCCAGTAGGCCCTGCCTGTGCTGCTTGGGTGTGTGATGTTCAGCACACGGTGCAGATAGGCAGGAAGGAGGGGGTAGATTGTGATGTGGGACTATGATGGGTATGGGAAAGAGGAGAGAGAGGAGAAAGGAACAGGAGCCAAAAACATACACACAAACAAAAAAGAGTGCTAAGGGACCTTGCTATTGGATTGGAGAGATGAGAGACTGAGTAATGTTGAAAAACAAAAATGAAAAAAAAAAGAAAAAGGGCAAAACAAAAAAAATGAATAAATTGAGAAACTGGAAATGAAGACAAGAAGGGAATGACAGAAGAAAACAAAACGAAATACAAAAACAAAAACAAAAACAAAAAAAAAAAGGAAAAAAAAAACAAGAAAAAAAATGCCCCCAGGGATGTCCTTGTGCATCTATGCAAAGTAAGAGAGTAGCTTCCAAGCCGCATGGTACTGCCTGGCTAGAAGGGGCTCCCAAGCCAAGTAAAGAAAAAGCAAACAAACAAATCAAAACAGAACAAATTGGAGCGAACAAACAAGAAAGCCCCGGGGGTCCAACCAGTGTGGTGGCACAGGCCAGGAGTCAGTTTCACAGTCAATCGGTGTTTCACAGCCTTTCAGGAAGAAGCAAAGATGGCGCACTGAGCCAGGTATTTGAGAGAAATGAGGGGGAGGTGGTGAGAGATAAGGAAGAAATCTAAAGCGGAAAAAAGCAACACCAGCAGCCAACAAAAGGCACTTAGGGAGCCAGCCAGCACAGGCGGGTGGAATCCAAGCAACGTCGGGGTGAAGCTGGTGCTTCCCAGCCAAGAGATTGTGGCTGCAGGAAGCAGAGGAGCCTAAGTGGGGGGTGAAGAAGGGTGGGGGTTGGGAAAGCCAATATCGCTGGTTACCAGTTGTTCTGTCTCCTGCTGGAAGCTCTGTGAAGGTGCTTTCTCATACCCGTGTCGACTGATCTCTGATAGGAGTCCAAGATGGCAGATCCATGCTGTGGTAGCTGATAAGGGACCTCTGCATGTATCTCTCCTTGCTCTCTGTTCTTGGTCAGTTTCTTATTCCATTTGGTGCTTGGCTGAGTTCTTTATCTTTTCATTTGGTGCTTAGGGTTTCAGGATGAACATGTGACTCTGACTTGGTGTTTCTGATCTTTGCTGCAGAGGGACGGCATGGTGCTTCTGACTATAGCGCCGTGTTGCCTGGAAGTCTACAGGGCTAATTTTTAATGACTGTTTTGGATTGGTAGCAGCAACAAATAATACTGCTATGAACAGTCTGGTACAAGTATTTTGGTAAACGTATGTATGCATTTCTGATGAGCGTAGGAATGCTGTGTCATGGAAAATGCATATGTTTGGCATTAGTAGATATTGCTAAATAGTGGTACAATGTGGTTGTACCAATTTATACTCCTCTGGAAAGCAGGACCCAGGGTGGTGAAGATGGATGGGGCTGTTATTTTTCATTGGAAACCTTATTATATTTTATCAGTTGGATTAGGTTTTACAGCATATACCAGAAAAAATAATAAAGTCATTTAAACAAAATAGATGTTTCTTTTCTTTCTCACATATAGCAAGTCCATAGGCAGGCTGATGTGGTGGCCCCATGTAATCATTAGATGCTCTTTCTATATTTCTGTTGGAACATCCTAGTGAATGGCTTTTGTGTTCACATGATTTCCATC